GGACAAATGTAGTGTTATTCCAACCATTTTCAGGATTGTTATAAGCGTTTTTGATAGATGCATGTCGGTCATAAATCAAACACAAGCCAGGTTGAGGAGCTACATGCATTCTCAAGTTTTTTAGAAAGAAACCCCAACCATCCGCCGTCTCACCTTCCACTAAGGTAAAGGCAACTGGGAAAATATTGTTGTTTCCGTCTTGTGCGACAGCCATTAGTAGTGTACCTTTGTACCTTCCATATAACCAGGTACCATCAATCTGTAGTAAAGGCTTGCAATATGCAAAGCCACGTATGCATGGTTGGAAAGCCCAAAATAGTCGGTGGAAGATTTGTTTCCCAGCAATAATAGTCCCGTCATCTGTATATACCGGTAGGGTTTGCATTTCTACTACAGTGCCTGAAACAAACTTCTTAAGGGCCAACAAGTAATTTGGAAGTTCATTGTATGACTTTTCCCAATTACCAAACACTTGTTCGATTGCTTTGTTTCTAGCAATCCATGCTTTCTTGTAAGATGGAGTGTATTTGAAAAAAGAAACAATTTCATTAATACATACACTCACCTTGATAGAGGGATCCTTTTCAACAAGAGGCATTAATCGTTCACTCATCAGTCGAGAGCTTAGTTGTCGATGATCCTGATTAAAGATGGTCGTTGAACAATTATGTGGGGGCTCCATGATTCCTATCTCCCATAGGTCGCTCCTTTTCCTATAGGATGCCACTGGACGAAAGTTACAACCACTACGCTTACAACAAATTTTATATCTCTTCGTGTCAGAACATGTAACCCTGAAATCAACGACATGTTTCATATGGTACCTGGATATTGCAAAGACACAGTCAGATTTGTTTTTGAACTGGTTCCCAACAGCTATGTCATCCTCCAGCGGAAGACGAGGATTTTTAGGCCATTGAAATGATGATTCGTCTCCAGCTGTTTCCAGAGTGGTCATGTGGGCGGGTGGACAATAAACATTCTCAAGTGGAATGTGTTGTTCAGTTTCGTTGATTGCATCCGCCTCGTCACGACCATCGTCTTCAAATAAAGTAGTGAACAAATCATCATCTTGTGATTCGGTCTCTTCTTCTTTGTCATCTTCGACAATGAATTCCTCGGGAATTATGGACACAGGCTCAGCATCATTGGGATTGGCCACTTGTGAGATTTGAGATTGTTGAGAAAGTTAAAATTTTATGTATAAATCTATCGCATGTAACCCAGATAATTCATGGTTGTAAAACATCATTTCCACATCATCATCATCTCGGATTTTCAGTGGAACATATTTCACCTGGTTCACACCGAAATTAACAACATTTCGATATATAATTTGTGAGACAGCTCCAGATTGCATCCTTGTTTGTATCCTCTCCCTCAAATATTCAAACTTCGCATTTCTACTTAATTTGAACCGACATATATCGGTATTTTCGAATATAATGCCCATTTCATCAGAGATAAGGATCTCTCCATTGTAATGAGCATCCACTACATATTGAGGTATTTGAGACATGTTAATTTGTTAGTGAACAATAGCTGAATTGTAGGAGAAATTTGTTTTTGAAATGGGTTGGGTTGATGAAAAATTGTATGAGGAAGAACTGAATTTAAATGAAATATATTTTGTGTTTAGTAAATATATTATAATAAATAAACGTAGGAAGAACTGAATTTAATGGTCAAACTGATAACATTAACTCATCCGCCCATTGCAGATGCGGTGGCATTAGTTTGTGTAAGGGCTCCGCCAATGGGAAGGCGGAAGCATTGATGTTCGTATAGGCTCCGCCCATTGCTCCTGCGACAGTGGTAGGCCAAATTACACGCTTCCGCCCATTCAATGCGCGAATGACAGACCAAAAAGTAACATGTCCGCCCAATGTATCTGCGGCGTGTCAGAAAATGCAAACAGTTTCGCCCATTGAGTAGGCGGATTCTGTAAAGTTGTGCATGCAACACAATTTACGTACACAACATGCATGCAAAGTTATTACTCCCAACCATATAATGGTTTCCATTAAATATTTTGAATAAAACCCTACATTTTTTCTCTATAAATACTATTCGTTTTTTCAAAATTTACATCATACTCAATCTTTATCTGTTCTTTCTCATAATAATTCTACACCAAACTCAATTTTCTATAATGCCTCTGTTAACTTATGGAGAGAAGCATCGAGGAACATTGTCAAACATACTCCAATATGTAAGTATTGAATATATTTACGTATAAATTTTTTTAAATTTTAAGAATATACTTCTGACATTAACCATATTCTAATATTAACTATTTTATTTTTTAGAATGAAAAAAAATTTAGGCCTCGTACACACTCGTATGTGCCCGTAGACGAAATGATCCGTCCATATCTGATGCAAGCGCGCTTTGGGCACGTTCTCAACATAACGTTATATGGTGTGGATAGGAAATTTATTCTCGCTTTATGTGAAAGATGGCGTCCAGAGACACACACATTCCATCTTCCTACCGGTGAATCCACAGTCACCCTTGAAGATGTCCACATGTTGATGGATTTACGTGTAAACGGTTTGGCAGTGAATGGGAGAACAAATGTTGACTACTCCATAACTCAAGAACTCTTGGGTGAAGAATTGCCCGAAAGAGCTAGAAAGGGACAATTCGTCAAAATTACTTGGCTCCGAGAAATATATGATGCATTTGACTTGAATCAAGATTCCACCATAGAACAAATTCATAAAAAAACTAAAATTTATATTTTATTGTTATTCGATTGTTTATTATTTCCTGACATGAATGGTAACACAATACATCTAATGTATTTACCATTACTAGCTGACTTTAATAAAATAGGTAGATACAGTTGGGGATCAGCAGTTTTATCGCATCTATACAGAAACCTCTGTAGATGCGCCAAAAAAGATGTTCATAATTTTGCCGCCAAAAAAGATGTTCATAATTTTGCTGGTTGTTCAATACTAATACAAGCTTGGGGATGGTCCAGGATCCCGAATCTAGCGCTTAGGAATCGTAATCCTTTTCACTTTCCGTACGCAACCAAGTAAGTTGTAACTACTCCTTTGTCTTAAACTTATTTACTATGTGAACAATATTTAAGTATTACATTTTTTTAGATGGTCTACCTATGAGATGGATTACGAAAAGACTCCTCATCATTGTGCACCTGGCTATCGGACTTTCATCGATCATTTCAAAGAATCTGATGTAATATTCTTAACCATATTTTAAGTATTACATATTTTATATAGTTCGTTAAACTAATAACTGATTTTTTTTAACAGTTTACATGGAGGCCCTATCTAGGACTTGATGATACCGATCCGACCGATAGTCACGTGTGGAGTGCAAAAACATTTATCATCTGTTTTACTACTGTTGAAATGCACCATTCTGATCGGGTAAAACTACAATTTGGCATTAAGCAAGGCATATCGGATGCTCCACAGTGCATGGAGGAGTATCACAAAAGTGTGGTGAACGACCAATGGGCATACAACAATTGGAAAGATTGTTACAAATAGGAGCATCGTCAATGGCATAACCGCGAAGATAAAGTCTTACAAGGAGATGTCATGTCAGAAGAATGTAAACCGAGTAAGGAATACATGGAATGGTATAAGTCTGTTACAAATTTGTATCTGTCACCAAACAACTTCTTATATGACCCTCGTAATTTGCCAACATCTTCAAACGTCCAACACACCAGACCATCATCAAGCACTTACGCCCAACAACCATTCATGAGCAACCAAGAACCTTTCTTCCCAACACAACCATCTTTTACGCAACAACCTTTCTTCCCAACACAACCACCTTTTACCCCAAGCCAACAATACCATCAACAAAACCCTTCATCTAACCCCACCCAATGGGGCACCCAACAACAAAACCCTTCATCTAACCCCACCCAATGGGGCATCCAACAACAATATCCTTCATTTAACCCCACCCAATGGGGCACCCAACAACAATATACTTCATCTAACCCACCCAATGAGGCACCCAACAACAATATCCTTCATCTAACCCCATCCAATGGGGCACCCAACAAACCCCACATAATCCCAACTATCAGACACCCCAACAACAAATGCCTATTTCCCGACCACAATAATTTACCTCCCAAGATTGTTACCAACCCCTCAATAAATAGCCTAATGTCTTCTAATCCCATACCAAATTGGAATTGGGAGGAAACCAGATTAAGTTATGGCAGTGCAGCCGAGACAGACTATACCAATGAGGACATGATTGAGGAATTTTTAATGGGCGGGTGTGACGCGGGACCTTCAACTTCAACTCAACCACAAAATGAAGAAGGAAATCGCAGAACAGACCAACGTACTAGACGAGCACCTGCTTGTGGAACTCACCAACGATTGACACGACCCGGTCAAAATCGACAGTAGATGTGTCTTGGAATTATATATTTTAAAATGAAAGAAATTAATTTATGTAATTTAGTGAAATTTTGGTTTATTTATAGTATATTTTGTTTAATTATAGTGTATTTTATATAATTATAATGTATATTATTTAATTATATCAATTTAATTTAGAAAATAAAAAAAAATCACGGTTGCACACATCTGCCCATAGGATGGGCGGACCCTCTCTATTTTTAACAACATCCGCCCAAAGCAGATGCAGAATGAAGAAAAATTGCACTCCTCCGTCCATTGTATTGGCGGATGAGTTGTGGCAAAAAAAAATTTTATTTGAAAAGAGGGTAGATTGAGATTAATGAATGTATGAGATGGTATATTGGAATTTAGTTGTTATTAGAGGTGTAGGTTGGTAAAAAATTCTCAAATATTAGGTGTGACTCGTAGTATTTAAACGCACATAATCTATCTTAGTGACTCGTGGGTATTTCCCTAACACAAGAACTCAAATTCTGATTGACAACTATACTTCTATCATCCAAAACGCAAGGAGAGAAAAATAAATTAAATAAATTATTTAATTAAATATATAAAACTCAACCGAATCAAATGGTAGAACGTGTGTTACTCACTCCTTCACTCCCATTACCATCTCGACCTTCACTTTCACCAACCACAATGGCTACTATTACTGGCGGCGCCGCCACTCGTATCATCCCCTCCGCCACCAGAGCCACCGTCTCACTCTCCTCTTCTTCCCGTTCCTTTTTCTCATTTTCATCCTCTTCTACTTCCGTTTCCTCGCTCAAATGCTTTCGCTCATCGCCTCGCATTTCTCACCTATTTCTCGACCAGGTTTCTTCTCTTCTCTATAATTTAACGATTTTATCTCTTTTTTTTTTGTTCGTGTGGTTAAATCACGCGCTCGATTTTTCAGCGAAGATCAGAGGTTCGTGTTTCGAGCGGACAGTTCGGAACGGTTTCGGCCTTGGCGTCTGATCCTGATCAGTTGAAGAGCGCTAGAGAAGATATCAAGGAGCTTCTCAGTACTAAGTTCTGTCATCCTCTTCTGGTAATTTTCAAGTGTTTTTACTTTTTTTCTTCTTCTTAGATTTATTTTTAAGAGAAATTATGATCTCTCTGTACAAGTATATTGCATTTGATTTAGGGTTTTCTTTGTCTGGAGTTGAATTAGTACAGTGTTAGTTCAATCATGGATTTCTCGGTATTTTTAATATCAACACGTTTTGTAATTTTTGTGAAGATTGAATAGCGTTACTTTAATCCTTTGATTTCAAGGTGAAAATAAGGTTAAGTAACTAAATTCCGCGATTATCAGCTTTTTAGTTACCAAAATGATTCAAAATGTGTGTGAATTCTTTTTTCGTTTTACTATGATGGTTCACATAGACTTTTATGTGATAGATTCGTTTGGGATGGCATGATGCTGGTACTTATAATAAGAATATTGAGGAGTGGCCACAGAGAGGTGGAGCCAACGGTAGCTTAAGATTTGAAGCTGAGTTGAAACATGGAGCCAATGCTGGTATGTATTCATTCACCACCAATTATTTCCAAATTTGACTCATGGTAAACATCCTCACGAGTTGCAATTTCAGGACTTGTAAATGCATTGAAACTTCTCCAGCCGATCAAAGACAAGTATTCAGGCGTGACATATGCAGACTTATTTCAGTTAGCCGGTGCTACAGCTGTGGAGGTTGCCTAAGTCCTACTTTGGCTTCAAGGATTGATTGTGCATGAAATAATTGAAAGATACACTGACCATTTTCTTTGAATTTTCAGGAAGCTGGAGGCCCCAAAATTCCCATGAAATATGGAAGAGTAGATACCACTGGACCTGGCCAATGTCCTGAAGAAGGACGACTTCCTGGTAAAGCCTATATATCCAGTTGGAGTTAGAACTATATTGTGATACAAACTATGTTCATTGCCTCTCTAAGATTGTAGAATATGGATTGACTAAGCTACTCTTAATTTGGGAATGAGAAACAAAGAAACTGTAGACTTTTTATAAGGTTTCTATTGATAAGGTATGAAATTCAACTGTATTATTATTTATTATGTGCTCATTCAGAACAAGAATTCATAAGTCAATCTGACAATGATTTCTCTGGAGAGTTTAATTGACTCAAATATTATATGAAGTAAGGGTTAAAATTACTCCAAAAGATTATCAGAACTTAGAGTTTTTTTTGTGTGGCTATCTATGTAAGCATGCTACTTATTCTCCCTAGTAGTAAGACTACATGCAAATTTCTTAGAGGTTCTTAGAACACTTCATCACTTCAGGCATTTTTTTCTTTCATTTTTATGGCTGTATTTGATATCATTTTCTTGCAAAGTTAACTTTCATAGAGGTAGATGCTACGGGCTATCATTCATGCATTTTTCAATGATACGAAGAGGCCCATACAGTCCACATAAAGTTTTAACTAGACCAGTAGGATGGTTATCAGTAATGTGATCGTGAATTGGTTTAGACCTGAACCCAATTCCACAAATTTTTGGACCTGGATCCTCTACAGCATTTTTTCTGCTGCCCTCTCTTCTGCCTTAGTTTTAACCATTGGATTGGATTACATTATGCTACGTATGCATTATTTTTCTAAAATATTTTGTATTGCCTATGCACCATTAGATTTGAAGCAGGATAGTGAGCTGAACACAAAAGGCAGGAGAAGATCCATTTCCAAATTTTTGCATCTCCCAAATCATTAGAGTTAAACTAAGAAAAGTAAGGTTGATCTGGTCTATTGGTTAGACCTTTTTCATGTACCCTTTCCAATCACCGTCTATAATGTTATACGTGTGCGTGAGTGCATCAGGTTGGCTAGAAATTTTTAATGGAAAGAAATTTCTTCTACCAGAAAAACAGAAGTGAGAGTGGGACTAAGGGGATGGTGGTAAGTGGAACAACAACAAGTTAATTGTTGGTTAGGGCACACATGACAAGAAGTGGCAAGATACACTTTGGCGGTAATGTAGGGCGCAAGAGTTTTTCTCAAATTGAATAATGACTAAACCACATAATGGCTAGGGTCTTCTTAGGGTTCAAATCGTGTATTGACTTAAAAAATGCTTGAAAGCTTAACTCTGCCTTTGAACTTATATTTACGAATTTTACATCATTGCTTAGTTGAATTCATATATTTAGGGATTAAACTCATTTCCAACAGCAGGTATTTAAAAAACTTCCTGATACAAACATGTAAACACAAATGAATTCAAATTGAGAACTTCAAATTGTGTTTTATAGATCATACATCTCCTTTTGTTCCTTTCAAGAGGTTAGATGTTCCAAAATGGATGACAGTTTGTCTTATATTGAAAAATAGTCGCTTTTTCTAACAATGACAACTCACTAACTTCTAGATATTTTTGTATTTAGATGCAGGCCCCCCTTCACCTGCTGATCATTTGCGTGAAGTTTTTTACCGAATGGGATTGGACGACAAGGTAATTTCCTGTGTTTCTCATAATGATGAAGGTTGTAACTTGTGTATTAGATTCTAGCTATATGTCTGATTTTGTTTATCAATTTATTATTTCTACAGGAAATTGTTGCATTATCTGGTGCGCACACACTGGGGAGGTCTAGACCAGACCGTAGTGGCTGGGGAAAACCTGAGACTAAATACACGGTATATTACTTTCCTTTTTACCCAGAAACTACAAAACATGATTTTGCAAGAGTAACGTTCTCTTTTAAAACTAGTCTCATTTTAATATTTGATATTAGAAAGCCCATGAGCACTAAGTGTCAGGGTTTTAGATTGAGGCCGTGGATGTGGCCGTTGCGATTATTGCAGCTGTTACAAAGCTTATTGCAGTCCTTATGGCACTAGTTAGCATATTTCCTATTTTTGTTAGCGTCAAGTTTTATTATTTATGTTATAATTCACATTTCTACTATTTATTCTCTAAAATCTCATTATCAGTTTTCCATCACTTAAAAGTTAATACTATCTCTTATCGTTTAAAATACTGTTTAAATCTACGATACAAAGACAAACGAAATAGAATAGTTGCCAAATTATGGCTTTAAATAATTTTATAGTCTGATGAAGCTGTTGCAGTGCTACGATGTAGATTTTATTTGATTCAAAATCATAGTATACTTGCGGGCTGATGCTGTTGCAAAACTTCCAAACCGCAATTTGAGACATTGCTTAGAGTCATTTATTTGACTTACACTATAGACGATAGTAAATAATCAATAGGATGGAATATTGTATTTTATCTTAAAACTTTTTATACTGATTTGGAGGATGACCACTACTACTTGATGGCTATTTCTTTCATTTAATAACTCATGTCCTTTATAACACCTTTAAGGCATTTGGTTTAGTCTTTTGACTATTAGATGATATGAAAAGATCTTACAATATATTGATATTATCATATGGCCCTAAGAGTTTCCACATATTAGCCTTGTCACTATACCACAAGTGTGTCTGGTGTGTAAAATTGTAAATGACGTATGGATTATAAGAGTATACCATTATTGAAAAATTATATATTTAATATACACCTAGTCACGTGGTTCAACAAATGACACGCCACCACCGATTCAACTGGTGATCCACTTAACCATTACCTTGACCGAGTTGATGATCGGTTTAGTCTGATAACATTGGTCTGTGCTGAGAGGCTTGCAAGATATGTTTCCCCTGGAGACTCTTCTAATAAAAGGTCATCATGATTTGAGTCATCAAGATTGTTTACCCTTATATTTAAAGAAAAACTTGTTTTACGGATTCACTTTGAAAAGAAAATGTACTTGAAGAATCATGAATGGGAATTTCACGGGACACTGCAAGTACATATAATGTTCTGTAAATCACCATCGGGAAGGTTTGTTTTCTGAAGATCACTCTGTTTTGAGATTAGAAGGTGTTATCAATGCAACATCTCTAGACTGATTTTTTGCTACTGCGTCATTGTTGCAAAATCAAAATGTATCTTGATTAAATATGATGAGTGATTACTCTGCTTGTCTTAATGTTTTAGGCCTTCAACTTTTAAGAAAAGTAAACCTAACTCTATGTGACAATTGTTTCTTTATGTCCTTAATAGTTCTTATGTCAACTATATCTAATCTTTTACTTAAATAGGCCTGTTAAGTTGTGTCTATTTAGAGCTAGTTTACATGATGATGATCAAATAGTTTTCTAACGGAACAGTATCTGAAATCAATGAAACAATAAAAGATTCATGTATATCTCTCAATCTACAGAAAGACGGGCCAGGAGCACCTGGAGGACAATCCTGGACTGCACAATGGTTAAAGTTTGACAATTCTTACTTCAAGGTCTGATTTTTGTTTTAAATTATTTTTCGACTATTTTGTTGGGAGGGTAGGCGGGATATAACAGTATAGGGAGAATGGAAAAGGAGAGGGGAATGTGCATAGTTTACTTTTTTTTCTTTTTGTAATTATTGTTATATACAGGACATCAAAGAAAAAAGGGATGAAGATCTATTGGTATTGCCAACTGATGCAGCTCTTTTTGAAGATCCTTCCTTCAAGGTAAAATAGCTGAATTTTTTCCATGTCCATTTTAGTTCAACAATAAATTAATCTGTGATATACCCAAAATTTTATTTGTAAAATATGCAGGTATTTGCTGAGAAATATGCTGAAGATCAGGAAGCATTCTTTAAAGATTATGCTGAAGCACATGCCAAACTCAGCAACCTTGGAGCCAAATTTGATCCTCCAGAGGTCTGTTCACATTCAGTTTCTGTTTTGTGTGTATTAAGATAGGTGTACTTACTGATTAATAAAAAAGATGGGTGTGGTGCTTATTTGGTGACCGGTTATTGTTTTCTTTTTCATGTCTGCATATGTATTTTATTTGAGTTCAAATAACAAGACAATTGACCAAGTCACCTAGTTAAAGTTTTCTTGTTATGTGTTTTGCAGGGAATTGTGATAGATGGTTCTCCAATTGTAAAGGGAGAGAAGTTTGTAGCAGCCAAGTACTCCTCTGGAAAGGTTTTAAACTTGCATAATTTATTAAATTTTACCACTCATTTTATTGATGATGCTTACAGAAGTTTTACTAGATATATTTCAACGAAAGACTTGCGTAGGATAAATATTTGCATATTGTTCATTGTTTCACTTTTCCTGGTTTGGTGCAGGAGTAAAAACAAGTGTCTTGTTTTCTTGTCCAAGTATCTTTTAATAAATACAAGACGAAGCTTTTTTCAAATCGTGTGATTATCACATGTAATTTTGGAAGTCTTTAAATGAAGAAGAAAGGAATAAAATTCAATAGTGTGCCTATTTGAATTGCAGAGAGAGCTGTCCGATGCAATGAGGAAGAAGATACGAGCTGAATATGAGGCAGTTGGCGGAAGCCCAGATAAGGCTCTAAAGTCAAACTATTTCCTAAACATCATAATTGTTGTTGCAGTTTTGGCTATTTTGACATCCCTGCTTGGAAACTAATTGGATTTTGTTTTACTAAAATTCACTATAATTGAATCTGCATTTGTGCACATGTTAGTTTCTTCCTATACCATTTACATATTAATGGATTGATGAATCATATAACCATATTATCAAGATAAATAAATACTCTAGGGTCAGGGAAGTAGAACAAAATATGTTGCTTATGTTTCCCCTCTCTTTCCCTCCAAACTCCCAAACAAAGCATAAGTCTAAGAAAAACAAAGCAAACAAAGCTTATCGAATATAATTTGTGAAACTCCATTAGTTTAACATCTTAATGTATGTATATTTGGATTTGGATGAAGAAAAGGAAAGGGAAATTAAGGAAGTGATGAAGTGCTAATAATGTACTCTTTTTAGCCTATGTTTGGAAATGTGTACAAATCACGGCAATACTGTGTGGTTTGTAAAAGCTAACAATAGTAGCTTTTGAAAATCTCGGTGGTGAGATTGTAAATGTACTTACGATTTTCAAACACACATTTTGAGTATGGGTGATCATATTCAAATCAATCCAAATAAAAAATAAAAAATCGATCCAAAAAACCGAAATTTATTGAATGTGTTTGAATGTGATTTTGTGAAAACCGATCTAAATTACCGAACTGCATATATATATTTTTATACTTATTTATCTTTTATTAGTATGATATGTTATGGAATTTATTATTAGACGATAATAATTTTTTTAATAATATTTATTAGTTTGATATAATCTATTTATTTTTATTATTTCAACTATGGTCAATCACTCTTGTTTTATAATATTAACTTTTAATATTCTATATGTTATATATTATAATAGTTTTATATTATTAATAAAAATATAATGTGTAATTTGGATATCTAAAAACTGATCAAAATTAAACCGCATAAAATTGAATCGGATTAGATTGAATTTTTTTAATATATCATCTAAAATTGAACTGAATTGCAAGTGAATTTATCTTTGGATCGAATGAGTTTTTGTTTTAAAATCGATCCAACCTGAACCGCAAAAAGCTCTATGCCTGAGTATATTCTTCAATTCATTCTTATATGTGGCTTCGTCCTCATTTGAAATTTGGCTGGTTGTTTTTTTTAGCCCTCTACTCATTTCATAGGCTCATTAGGAATTTGAAATGGGAAATTTTTAAGTTTGAGTTCAACTTCATTCTCTCTTATATTTCATTATAAAATGTAATCATTATTTGTTTTACTTCATTCTCTCTTATTTTCATTCTAAAATGTATTCATTGTTTTTGTTTTACTTCATTCTCTGAAAGCGTACTCTCAATTGTTAAGATAAAGAGAAGTATTAGGGAAAATTTCCGGCTAGGTCAATGTGGATCCGTATCGTTTGCAACTTGGTTTTTTCATTAGGAATTGCAAAGCTGTGAGTTTTGGAGTTTGTTTCTCGGTGGCATTTACTATGCATAAGTAATAAACTTGTCCATCATACAAATAATGATTTTTACCTATTACTATAAAAGGTTGAATAGGTTTATTGTTAATTACACTTTCACCTCAAAAAATATTTTATATTAATAAAAAAAATAATATTTGTTTTAACATCTCACACCAATATCTACTCTATCAATGCTAACAAAAGAAACATTTATCCAAATTCTTTCTTCTGTAGCATCATTAATTATCTCAAACCCTTTCTTGTTCAACATCTTTAATTTTCTTCTTTTTTTTCTTCTAAATTCTTAATTTTCTCAAACCCTTTCTTCTTCAATATCATTATTCTTATCTTTATTGTCACTGTTCATCGATGTCAGTTACTGTTAATCAGAAGGTGTAATATTTATCGGCCGAACATTGCCCATCTTAAATCTTGGCCATCCGTTTTTTTCTAGTACATCTATAACTTACAAGTTTTCTATTGTGTGGTGGAAGTTTCCAACTTGTCCATGTTAAAATTCATCATTGTTCTATCTTAATGTAAGAATAAATTTTTACTTTTAAAATATCTTTGTATGCGATCTTTGCAATGGCGTACTTTGAACTGAAAAACAATATAATAAATTCAAAATTAATATTAACAATAATGATATAATAATAACTATTTTATTAAAAAAGTTTTTGAATAAAGATAAATTATAGTAGATCTGTTTGATTCTTTTCACTACTCAAATACTAAAAAATAATAATTTTTATGATGTAAAGTTATAATTATTAAATTATCTTTTATCTAACCCTGATTAGATTTTTACACCTTAAAGTTATGTTTATTACGATTTGTTGAATAATCTGATTTTAATTATCTTGATTTTATGATAAGAAAATTTATAAGTAATTTGATATATTTTTAATTTATGATTAAGTTAAAAGTTAGAGTTATCAATATATTTTTAATTTATGATTAAATTAGAAGTTAGAGTTATCAATAGTAATTTTTATATATAATTATTTTAACGTATAATAATCCGACTTGTCAAATCAATTTAGAAAAAGTAAATATATATACATTTGATTGTCTCTTTTTTTGTTGGGAAAAGAGAGGACCGAAGCTTAAAAAAACATATTTGATTGTCTCACCATCTAAAAATGGATTTGAAATTCACACAGTAGTATCGTAAGGTGACAGTCAAAGTATTTGGAACCCATAAGATTTCATTTTAATAGTTCAAATTTAAATGCCAATAAATTAATAAATAAACATAATAAATTGATAGTTTTATTAAATGGTTGAGATGTAAATTACAGGCACCCTTGTGTTAAGATTCACAGCTTAACAATGTGATTTTCAAGGAAGAAAGTCATATCCACCATTACATTAATAATATATATATATAATATATTTTATTCAGATTTATGGAAAATATCATCAATGAGGAACTTGATTACAATTAGCAGAGGTCCATCCAACTTGTTGTTTCTCGTTGTCATAAATCACTAATTTATCTTGCATAAAGATATCTGAAAACAAAAAAAAATTACACTAAAATTAATAAATTTTAAAAAGAAATTATAGAAATTGAACTTTTACATATTTTTTGGTTTCATTAACACCTTACCTCCAATCAAGTTAACGCTCATTCGTTGTCCATCAAGAATTCCGAAACAGACACTACCAAATTCCTGAAAAACAATAATAATCATTATAAATTAATATAGGAATATACATGTGATGTGTTATTTTCATCATAAGAGTAATAAGATTATAATGTTATATAGTTTTAAAAGGTACATACTGAGATTATGAGATATTTTTCCGGTGGAATTTGAAATTGCAAATTCTTTGACTTTGTGAAGATTAAAGTCAAGGGTTTAAAAAAGGGTTTGACTTCATTCAAAGACTTGAAAAGCTTGTGAGGCTTCAGATTACTCTCCCAACAAACCGGTAACGTCCTATCTTCAACTGATCTACTCAGAGGCTTCCCTTTCAAATTATCTTTCACCTGAATCATGGATCAGTTATTAGTAATGGAATATAAAATTTGATTATCACAAGAAAGTAAAATAAGATAATGAAATTAATAGTATTGTTTTCCAGTTTCCATCTAACCTGGTTAAAAATTGCATTATAAATTTGGGAAGGGAAGTAAGTGTATGTGCTTCCACTGTCAAAGAGAAGTTGAAGACCTTTGATGGAAGTAGGCTTTCCGTCGAAAAGCAGGTCCGCCGGGCCTACGATGTAGTGTGGTCTGAAAATAATATGCATAATATAATCAAATATATTAGTTATTATAACATTGTGATTGGTTGGTGTATACAAAATTTAATTATATACTTACACATTAACTATAGGTGTCCAAACAACTCCGGATCGTGGAATAAATTTGTCCCCAAAGAATAAATATCCTCCTTCTTGTGAACTTAAACAATGACCCAACACTTTCCGAAAAAGCCCTAGAGAGTTAAGTTGTGACGAAATGCTTATCTTTCCGTTGCCGAGGCCGAGGACCCCTACGGATGGGGGTGTTTTAGGAGGAAACTGCTGGTCGTATCCACACCTAACATGAAAAACACAAATAAACTCAATTGGTAACTAAGTTAAACAATATAAATTGAGATTGAAAATCATGCAGACACATGCAGTTACCCGAATGCCAGTAAAGGTTGAGTTGCAGGGGGTTTGGTGGTTCCTATGTGTATATTGTCTCGGACTAATGCACCTTCAGATGATGCTTTATCTTCATATTCAATCCTATACTTGCATTGGTCATTTGGCTTAGGACAAATACCTTGTATTGGCGGAATGAAAGAACACAATGGATCTGAACATTTTACATAGTTGTCACGGGGTTTATAGAGTTTTTCGTTAGGCTGCAAAAAACATTTGAAGGAAATAAGTTAATTTACTAGATTGTAACCTAGTAACTGACACTTGAAATTGAAGACATACCACGGTGCATTTTTTACACGGTGCATCACATTGAATCCAAGTGAAATCACTACCGGTGTCAATGTCAAGCTCGTAAGGTTTGGGGGGATTGCCAATGTTGATGGGCACGACGTAAATCCTGCATCAAGAGAGAATATACATGGATATATTTGACAAAAAAAAAGTTATTGATGAAGAAGAAAGACGATTGATAAGATGAACATACCCACGAGGGTATACATTTCCCTTAAGTGGATAAGCAAATGAGGAAACAAGGGAACGAAAAATTAAGGGGTTTGTTTCATTCTTGTGGATGAGTTGATCAGCTGCTGAGAAATGACGTGAGAAAATAACAGAAGAAAGAAATAAAAAGAGTGAGAATGTTATTACTGAAACTCTTTTCATATTTAATGAAATGGAAAAAGAGAAGAATTTGTACAAAGTTTAATATTGTGACAATGTATTTATAAGGAGAAAAACTGAAAAAAGCGCGTTAAATTTCATGGCTGTCAACCAATATAAATTTTACGCACAAGGTAGAAAATAATTGAAGCGTTAGTGTATAGATTGATTGAACACTCTATTAAAAATTTTACTTTAAAAATATTAATTATTTATAATTATTATTAGTGTTTTTGTTTGAAATATAAAAAAAGGAGTGAAAAAAGAATAATAATAATAATATCTTCAAATGTTTACTTCGCGTAAACATGTCACATCATTCTATTAATATTTTTATTTTGTATTAGTTTAATTATTTCTTATTATTATTTTTATTAGAAAGATGGCTTAGTCTAATTAATATTGCTACCAAAAATTATGCAAACAAGAATAAGAATATCATTATAAAATCCTACCAAATATTACAAAGAAGCAATCCAGAAAAAGGTTTGCAATTAATTCCAAATTCCAAAGAGGAAAAAAAGAATAATAGTAACAACTTCAACTACTTCGGGTAAACATGTCACATCGTTCAATTGGGTCATAATGAATTGAAGATCAAACTAAGATAATAAAAACAAAAAATAATAAATTAAGGGGGCCTACTATGTATGCAAAAACTGTAATGATAAATTAGTTATATCAATATAAATTGTTTCATACATACTAATAAACAATTAAAAAATAAAAAATAAGTAATTCGATAACATTAATTTCAAAAATTCTTTCACCTTTTAATAATTTTTATAAAAATTATATGTAAATTTTTTTTTATATTTATTGACATAAACATAAAATAATTATAATATAAAAATTATAAAATTTTCTACATTTTATTATTTTTACATTGTTTTTAGAAAATAAACTATTAAAAATGTTTTGGAAAATAAATTTTGTTTTGAAAATTGTACATTCTATATTAAAACTTAAAATTTATTTATATATATTTTTTTCAAAAAATAAATGCTAACGAAGTGCATTAGAGGCACTCTTTAAAAGTTTAAAAATATACACTTTGTTTTGACATTTTATATTCAATGCACAAAAAATGTAAATAGTTGAGTTTTTTAAAGAATAAAACGGTACATTTTCTTGAAAATTCTTGTAATATTGCATTGAAAAAAAAAGTTTTTTTCAAGATTTTTTTCTATATTTGAAATTCTTAAAAATGTTTCTTACAAATATCTCTGAAACATTCGTTAGTAAGATTCTTTTTTAAAAATAAATTTTTTGTATGTTAGTTTTATGATATATCATTTAGAACACAATTTAACATGATTAAAATAAAAATTATATACAAGAAAAGAGAAAATAAACTATATATTGAAGGTATAAATTAGTATAAAATTATTTTACATTATCAATATATATTTATTAAATCCATAAGAAAAATATTTTTAAAACATATTTTTCACTTATTTTTTTAAAACATATATTTTTGAATAAAAAAAGAGAATATATTATACTATATTAGTTATAAATTATCATAAAATTACTTAAAATTAATAATTATTTAAAAGAAAATAAATAATATATTATAAAATATTTTTACACTACCAACCAATCACCATCATATATTTAATTAAACTATTCTTTTATTTAAATGATTTTAATAGTAAATTAATGGTTTCTATCCATTAAACTTTTTTTAATATAGTCAGATATAAAAAAAAGAGTGATTGTTGTTACAATTTTTTTTTAAAGTGTTTTACACTTTAATATTTTGACGTTGTTTCTTCTAGAAACCATTCATCAATATTAAGTGCGGTTGGAGTTTACAGTCGTACACATGATAATAATTTAATATTAATTAATTAATTTTATTTTATTTTTTTATATACTAGAAATAATTATAAAATCTTATAAAAGTCATACAATCGAAATAAATGTTTGTCAATAAAATTTATTTAATTGTTCGTATAAAAAACCATTAAAAAAATAATATTATTGATTTATTAATTAAAAACAAAATTTTAAAATATCATATCTAAAATTTAATTAATGTTTATATATTAAAAAAACATGTAAATATTTTTTTTTGAATATTAATTTTGTTGAAAAATGTTGAAAATTTTATTTTCTTTACATAATAATTTTATATTTCTTTGATTGCTCTTAATGAATTCGGAAAGAATTTAACGATAAAACATTTATATAAGATTGTCCAAACAAAATCGATTGAGAATTTATTTAAATGTCGATCTTGCGATCATGGTTCGATCGTGAATTTCACATCATGACCTCTCCGACCAAGAGATATTCAAAGAGAAATGTTTAGTGTCGAAGGAGAATGGTGAAAAGAAAGAGTCAAAAGATGAAAGACACATTCTAAAGTTTCAGACAAAGAGAAGGTGAACAATGTCTCAAATGAAGTGCTTCTATTAGTGATAACACACAAGGTAGCAAATCGTATAGTACTAAAAAAATTAATTAACGAGAGAAGTTCATACGACATCATGTATGTCATCCTTTTAAAAAAATTGAGATTATATAAAGGAAAATTATCACCTTATGATGGCACATGTCTATAAGTGTTCAACGATTCTGAAATTTTGTTGGATTAATAACAAGATGTCACATACAATATTGAAATAATGTGCGGGTAAATGGATCTAAAATAATTGATAAGTAATTAAACATATAATAATAAAAAGATACAAGTGTTGGACAAGCGACTTCAATCACGAGAGAGTGAATTGTGGTATTTAAGATTTACGATTATTTTTATACTTTTCTAGATTAAGATCGTGTTAATAGTTTCTTTAAGAGTAAATGACAGCGGAAATAAAAACAAATGGTAAATAACATAAAAAAAAATATAGAGAAAAAGTGTTATAGAGATTGCACCAAAGAGTTATTCAGGTTTGACCGAACCTTGGCGTAGTCTTGTTCCTAAGTGGTCTTCTTGAGATTTTGACTATAAACTCTTACGCTTTTATAGGTTAAGTCTACGAGCCTTTAATACAATTTGATATTGAGATTTTTCAGGCTTATCTCCAACCAATGATAGCTTTTACCCCAGGCTGAGCTAACGAACTGTTTAAAGATTGATGACTTATCTTAATAATCAAAACAAAGTATTTTCCAGCAAAGCTCAAGAAACCAACCACTTAGATTTTATGATTGGTTTATCTCATGAACCAAACTCGATCTCTCAAGAGTATTGCACTCTTAAGAGTTAAGCGTCCAACACAACCACTTACAAACTCTTTCTCACAAGCAAACTTTCACGTTAATGCACTAAGGCAACCTCAAGTGAAGGGAAATATTTCTAAAGAAATAGAGAGAAAATATAGAGATAAATTCCAAAGAAAATGTAAATCTTTGAAAATTGGCGTGAAATGAATAGGATATAAGCCTCCTTTATATAGGAGTTGGAAAAATCAGAAAAGGAAATAACCCATGGACCAAATTAATGAGTCAATCAATTGACATAATGATTCAATTGATTGACCAAGTCATTTTTAATCGATTACCACACCCAAATAGAAAATATTGGATATGGAGTCATTTCAAGGTGTTAAGGTGTTGTCCCAATTGCTTGGTTAATCGATTATCCCTTCTCCAATTGATTGGCTTAATGCTCCAACCGATTGGTTGACTCAAACAAAAGTTTTTCCAATCGATTGGTATAAGTTACCAATTGATTAGTTAGTTCAAAAAAGCTTTTGAAAAAGATTAGACAACTTCTTAATCACTTAGCTTGGCCTAGAAACAAATTTCAAGATAAAAGTGTTTGAAATATATTTTTAACTTGTGTGTGTGTTGACTTAGTACTTAGAAGTTACTTACTCACTTCTACGAAACTCGGGCCACTCAAACAGACAGACAAAAACGACATGGTGAGCTTTCACACTTTATATGAGGCTTCAAGATTCTTTGTTATATGATCGCGATCCTATAAGCACTTTAATCTTGAATCTGATCTTGAGTTCTCTAGTTAGGTCACCATTATCAAGGAGTTGAAAGCTATTGTTGCTGACTTTAATCGTTGTTGTCGTCATAAAAAATTCAAAGAATATCTTTTGGGGAGTTATCAAGCACACATATCCACCTTCTCCCCCCCTTTTTGATGATCACAACATCTCTCAAGAAGGTGGTAAAAAAAATTTGAAGTAATTAAATCCCCCATCAATTAAGTAAACAATATACTATACTCCCCATGAGAGTATACTTTCCCTCTTTGGCTTAATCAAAAAGGCAAAAAAAATATTAAAGCATATAGATCCCATATAAAAGAAATAAGTTATCTTCTAGAGATAAAAAAGAGATGTCCAGATTAAGGCATACACAAATAGGATCTAAGATCTTATTTCTCCTTACGGAAGGTAGAATTCTACTTTGAAATTAATCGGTAGGTAAGCTTTGGAGAACTTCTTCCCCTTGACCCTTTCTCGAACATAATTCAGAATTCCATGAAGCTTTCTAAATCAAGAGGAAATTTCATAGTCTATTTGATTCTTGCTTGGATTTCTCCAAAAGATGATTATTTCTCCTTTGGATTTTTTTGGAGAATCTCTTTTTAATCTCCATGGCTCATAGACTAGTATTGGGTTCTAGGAGTTTGGAACCACTTTTTCCCCACAAAATCTTAAACCTTAATGTAACTTGATAAAACTACCTCTTTTGAGGGAATGAGAAACCATAATCTATCAGTTAACATCTTGATCATATTTGTTGAAGAACACCATCAATATCTTGATCAAATCCATCAGGATTGACAATCATTATCAAGTAATCACTTCTTCTTATATACCCAAGAAAGACTATCTCATCTTTTGATTTTAGTTTGCAACATATTAGAAACATCATTGCACAAGGATTTGTTAGTAGCTTCGAATTGATAAAAGGAACATGCACAAGAAGGAAATGCATGGTTTTGAATCAACGTTGTATCATTCTTCCTTCTTAGATACTTGTTTTCAAACAGAGAATAAGATTTTATAAATATAAAGAATGATTAA